TTGCCCTCCCTACTTTAGAGAGGTGGAACACAGTATATGCTGCCAGACTTGACATATGAATTGACTGGCTACTTTTTCTGAACTGCTTATTTTCTCCTTCTTAGTTACAAGAGATGGCTTTCCAGGTCTGGGAGGGGGAGAGATATTTGAAAATGAAGGTGGCAAAAGATAATCAATAATAAATTTTAGAACAGCTTTAGCTATTCCAATTTCATGTTACAGATGAGTTACTAAATTGCCTTTAGTGTTTTCCTTTAAGTGAAATTTTATTCTCTGTTTTCACTTAGTTTGACCTTCTTAGCACAAGTTTCACACCAATTTTTCTCACTCCTCTAACCTTACTATTTAGATGGCCAAGCAGAAAACACTCTGGACTTGTTGAGGTTTGGCTGACTACCAAACTGCAACTAACTGTCTCTGATTTAGTTTCATTACTTTTGTTTATATAGTTATCCCTTCCACACCATGACTTTCCCCATCAAGGTTTTGCTATGTCGAGGACTGGTGTAAGAAATTAAATGGAAATTTTTCTGGAGTTTTGCAGAAGCTGCAGACAACATGCAAAAGCCAGCAGATAACAGAAAAAGTTTAGAAATTCAGAAATGTATAAAATATGTGTATAGTATTGTATAATATCAACCCATTTTATCTTTTATTTTATTTTATTTTAGGCTAGGCAATAGTGTTAAGTGACTTGCCCACAGTCAGTGTTATGTGTCTGAGGCCGAATTTGAATGCCTGAATCCAGGGCCGGTGCTCTATCTACTTTGCCACCTAGCTGCTCCCCCCCACATTTTATCTTTTAATATCATAATAATTCAGACTTATTCTCTGGTACAAAGGTAAGGCCAAAAAATTTTACTCAGATTTTCCAGACTACAAGCGGACCGGGCCTCTAATTTCCACGATGTGGAAAGGATAACTGTATTCATTAAATTTAAGCAAGAAAGTCAAAGGCACCCCAGAACTTAGTAATAACTTCTATATCAATTAACTCCAGCTCTGCAAAATGATTACTCGTCTCTGACACATTTTTATAAAGTTCCTAAGGGTTGCCTGGAAAGATGCCAACAATTATACCTGCAGGTAATCCTACCTCTTTCTCAGCTTAATCTGTATTTTTAAAAGTCATACCCTGTTTTGGGACCTGGAAGGCTATATGCAAGCTATCCTTTCCAACATTCTTCTAAACCCAGTGGCATCTGTTGTAAACAATGAGGTTTGCCTCTTTTAGAAAAGGAAATATGCTACACTGAACCTCAACCCCCACCTTCTTTACATTCAAAAAACAAAATCTTATATATGGCAAAAAAATTTTTACTAGCTTCTGTGGCAGCAGTCTGGTCTGCCTTTAGACATGGGTAAAACTCAGGAGTACTGCCCAGTTTAAAAGAAGCCTATCTGCACAAGCCTGAACCCTGTCACTCCTACCCAAACCAGTGCAGAGGTCATATGGTTAACAGTAGGAGCTAGTAAAGGGTCTTACTAAGCAAAGCGGAATAGAAAGTAAGGTGGGAGGTAGCAATAGTAAGAGGAAATGAGCGTGATCAAAAATGGGGATGGGGGAAGGGATCTTTGCAGATAAGAGTTCTTACTGGAATCTCAGTTTGGGTTATCTAATTAAAGAATTCATGAAAATAGTATATAAACTTACATCATCTTCCTCCAATCAGACTATAAGCTCCCTTAAGTTAGAAATATAGTATTGCATTTCCAAATACAGTGACCTATTTTATAGTATTCACTTAGTTAAGACAATGTCCTTAACCTTTGACTCAATGATTTCACTCCTGGCTATAGACAGGAACAAAAATTTAATATATGCTAAATATTTTTAGCAATATTTGCTGGTAGCAAAGAACTAGGAACAAAGTAGGTTCCTGTCAACTAAAGAACAGTTTTAAAAATATTATATGAATGTAATGAAATATTATTGTGAAGTAACAAATGAGGAGAGGCAGTGTCATATAGTAGAGGGAGAGTCAAATTCAGAATCAGGAAGACCTGGGTTCAAGTCCTGACTCTAACACACACTGACTGTGTGACCCTGGATATGTCCCTGAATTAGATTGTGAGACAAAATTGCAAAGCTGACAACAATGTTCACTCTTTGTAAATGGAGTTCCCTGCACCAATGAATTCACAGGTCTATAGTCCTTAAAATATAACTCCTCTCTTATCTCTATGGGATATTTCTGCTTTTTCTTTGTCACAAAGGAGGGTTCAATCTAGTGGGAGAAGGGGAGTAAATGATATAAAGATAAATATTATCTGCAAGCACATTTAGTGTTACTGTAAGAGAAGTCTAATTGACTTTGGTAAAGAAGTTCAGTAACTAAATGCAAAGGTCAACAGAACTAGTTTATTCATCTCTATTGTAAGAGCTTCTTTATTGACACTACTTTTATGTGACTTTACAGGATCTTGTGGCTGCAGAGCTACTGGCGAATTTCCAATCTACAGCTACTATTAATGTAAAATTTATTTGCCAATATTTTCATTTTTTCAACCTGAACTATTATAAAGCACTGTGAAAATAACAAAAAAGAATATTATTTCAATGAAAAAGAATAGTGTATGACATTGAATTAGACATTCAAAAGAGGTTAATTTATATTTCACCTTAATTTAGACTTAATAAAAAGGATTCAACTAGGAAAAAACTGACTTAAAAGAAACTCATGATATCCCTGTTATTCTAATATTGTTCCCTGAATTGTAGCTGGAACTTAAAATTACATGCACTTGTAGAAACCGTAAAGGGTAATTTTTCAGCCACAAAAAATTCTTAAAGGCACAAATAATAGATAATTGCTTGAATCAATGGAAGCATCTATTTTCTTCTCCATTTTTTAGAAACCCCCTTTAAGGTTTATCCTCACCTAAATATGAGGCTTCAAGAGCAGTAGTGAGCCACAGACAGAGGGATGGCCTTGCTGTCAGGAAGATGGGTTCCAGTCTTGCCTCTGACATATATGTTAACTGTATAACCCTGAGCAAGTCACTTAATCTCTCAGTGCCTCAAGCACCTCTCTAAAACTATAATTTTCAGAAGAGTTACTTATTGACATTGGTAGAAGGAGCTCATCTAGACAGATACAATGGCAGGTCTGGGCCCTCTGTCTTGTGGGTAAATTGCAAAATTTTGATGTGCACACATTTTTGTTAGTTTCTATGAAATGAGAGATCATCTAGTAAAAAGTTCCTAAAATCCTGAATATCTTATCCAATATCCCAGTAATAACATAGTCTTTTTGTTTTTCATTCAATTCAATAAGCATTTGTTGATACTAAAGATGACTGTTACTGACCAACCGTGAATAGGACATGCCCTATAAATTGCTGGGTTGGTTTTTTAAGAGCAGGGGTAGACTGAACTGAGTTGTGCACCTTTCTCCAAACACTACACATCCAGCTGACCTCCTCTAAAAAAGGAGAAGATAGAGGTCTTCCCTGACCATTCTAGCCATCACTAAGGCTCCTCTCTCTTTTATCCTCTGAATTCCTATTGCATTTATGTAACTTGTATACTTGCACATATATAAACTATACATAATTTGTCACTTAAATATAAATGGCCATATTATATTCCCTAGATTAGTTTTATCTCTCTATTTGTACTATAAGGTCCTTAAAGGGCAGAAATCTCAATGATTTCATTTCCTTATATGGCACATAAATAATATTGGATTCAATAAATGCCTGATCAACTAGACCATAAGTTCTATGAATATCTGTAACTGACCAAAGGCATACTGTCCCCAGTCAGCTGATTAGAGTTATTAGAAGCACAATTTGTGGCTAAAGCATTTCCCCTATTTCAAGCTAAAATAGTTTGAAAGAAAATTAATCTCATAGTTAGACTCATTCAACTGGCCAACAGCACAACTGGACTGCTGAACAAGTTTGATTGAGAAATATACCAAACTAACATGTAACTGGATTTCCAATTCAATTCCCACCAGAAATAGGTTATTGCTTAGTGGATTAATCATTCACTGATGAACAACATTTATAGATAACATGGGCAAATAAAGTAAAGGGAAGCCTTCAATTGCTGAAATGAAATGTTCCCTACACACACTCTTGAATGATGAGAACCCCATCCAAATTGTGAAAACCCATTTCTAATACTCAAAGAGTCAATTCTATCACAGCTCTCTGCTCTAAAAGTCCCTTGCTAAGGAGTAAGAGGGTCAATGATTAGGTATAGAAGTTCAGTCAGTGTTCCCAGTCCTTACCAAGTTAATGTAGACATCTGCAAGGAACAAATGTGGCCCCCAAAGCTGAAACAGCTGAAAAGTGAAAGGAGTTGGTTGATTTCCAACTAACTAGCAAGTACATCTGAAACAAAACACTTTGTCCTCACCCTATGATCAGTATGGTTAGAAGGAAATAAACAGTATGATGGCCCTATGCCATATGCCTACCAGAGCTTGTTATCAACAGCCTGGAGAAATCAGTTGAGAAATGGCTTCCTTCCACCCAAAAAAAACCTCTGTAACTACTTAGCACTTCAAATGGGTTCTTTTGCTCTCAATCAATGCTTTTTGACAGGAGCACAAAACATTTAGAGCAATCATGGACTGTGCTACGGTATTCTGAGGCTCCCTTTCCAAGAGACAAAAGTTGAATTATGTCAGGTGGATGAATCCCTTTACAATTTGGCAGCCTGGACAACTGATTATCATTAACAGGCAAAAAAAAAAAATAATAGCTTAATTATTCCCAACACCTTAGTTTTCAGATAAACAAAGTAAATCACACACAATATGTTTGACTTGTAGATTTTAATGAAATAGCAGTTTACACCTGCAAATTATTTGCAAATGTGCTTTTAAAATACACCAATAAAAATAAAAATCTACTCTAGAGAAAAAGCAGAAATAAAATAAACCAAACATCTTTCAAAGACAACAAAAAGTCTGGCACAGCCTGCATTAGGAACATTGGGTTTGTTTTTTTTCTTCTTTCTCTTTTATTAAATTTAAAAAACTTACCCTGAAGAGATTTCCCCAATCCCTGGCCCAGCTTCCACCCATGTTTCTGGAGTAAGCGGTGTCCAATATTATCCTGACAGACAGAACAGAAAGACAAACCAAAAATATTCCAATAATATATTCTTCCCCTCCTACCAACATTTAAACACGTGATGAGCAAAAGATAACTCTACATATAAGCATGCAAAAAACTGCTAACAGGGCAAATATGCCCAATAAAAAGGGAAATAAACAAATGTCAAAAAACTGCTGGCTAGTACTTTTCCAGGGGAAGAACATATGGGTAAGGGTACTTTCTGATGGTGTGCTGGGCAACTTTTGTGCATAATACTTTCAAAAGGAAAAAAAAAGTGGGAGAAAATAAAAGTTTATCAGTAAAAAAATGACATTAAAAAGCATAAAATCAAGCTACTTATACAATCATATCCATCACCTAGACAGCACCACTTTTAGATTTTGTAAAAAGAAAATCTACATTGTGTTTAGTCATTTTGTTTGTGTGTCAGGCTTTCATGATACGAAGTAAGTTGTAAGTGCAAGACTGCCCCACCACTAGAAACGAAAACACAATCAGAGCAAAATCCAGGCTAGACTTGATTGGGTTTTATACATATAATATAAATATATAAACTAGCATGCAGCCAATATTAAACTGAAAAAACAGTGAGGTTAGTAAAACAAGAAAGTAAATTGATTAACCAAAAAAAAATTAAATAAAATGAGTTCAAGCACAGACTGGGTGATGCATTTCAACATGTAATCTAACAAAAATACTAAGATGTTAGAATGAAACAGGCCTAGCAATAAGTTAACAGTAAGGAACCATTAGTGCATGTAGGGGAAAAAACAACAAACATAATGTCTCATCTTCCTAAGGAGCACAGGACAAACAGTTTTTCAATATAAAATGGGTTAAAAAGGTACTGGAAACAACAATTAAATGTCAGCTATTGGATAAGGGGTGGAAAGTCATGAAGGTACTTGGGAAGAAGGAGCAGCCTTTTTACTTGGTAACTTGTCAAGTCAGCTACCGATCTATTATCACGCCAATGCTACAATAAGCATCTCTGTAATTAAAAAATAATGCTACCAGTTTTTAAAAAGCTGTCCACATACACAAAAAGTAGTCTATACACAGCTAACTACTAACCATGTACTTAGCTTTAAGTCACAACAGTTACATTAACTTGGTGATATAAGTCTAAAAATAAATTCTATAATTTCAAAATCTGAATTCCTAAAGTCAGCACACTCCCACAGATCTCTGAACTAAATATCTTAGAACTATCTGGCTTCTGACTGATGTAGTAGTGTGAAATAATATATATCTTGCCACCATGGAGGTGAGAAATACTGCCTCTGCTGTTCTTTCTCAAAGCAAGGTAAGAAAAAAAATAATCTGCTGAGCCCATGTTTTGTTTTGTTTTTAAATTCACGTTTTTAAAAAATCGCTGAAGTAGAGGTAAATACAATGACAAAGCAAGTTCTAAAATTAAAGTATTTTTAAGCCTACAAAATGATGACAATCTTTAATAAGGTAAAAGGCTAGAAATTATTTTTTGAAGAAACTGAGAAAGTTCTAAATGATTACAGATCATTGAGGCTCTAAGACTTATGAGTCTTCTATATTGTCTGTCCTCATGAATGGACTAATCCTGCTATGACCAATAATTAAGACTATCAAGAGGCTCAGAACAGGTCCATCCCCCCCCCCCCGCCCCCAATAAAATTAGGTGACTGATAGTAACTATTTCAAACAGAAATTTAAAGCCTGTAGAGGAAAAGTATCAAGAGAAAGAAAAGGAAAATAAATACTAATTTTCCCATGTTAAGTTCCAAGGCATAACAAAGCATTTTTCTGTTTTCGATGTAGACAAACTTACCTTATCCAATCCTAGTTTTAACATTACAGTTCTTATAACTGCAGTGTTCTGATGTACTTACGTATTACAGATGACCATTGGCTTACACGACTAGATTAAGTGGCTGTTACATCTTTAACATACTATGTTACTCTACTTGAAGGGGATTTGGGCACTTAAGCAATGCTGACAAAAATTGCTGGCTTTTTAAAAAAAGAAAATGACAATCTTTTGCTAAGTGGAGATGAGACATTATGCTGACTGTATTGTATTATGAATGCACCAAAATAAACAGACAGATGAAGCAGTATGCTATTTCCAAAAGCAGTGCAAGTGGAGTGAAAGCATTTCCATACGAACCTGGCTTTAAAAACTGGGCTGTCAAAAGAACAGTTAAATGTAACACAAAGTAAGAAACTGTCCAATCACTAATGGTCTTTTTTTTTGTCTTGTTTTCAATTCACTGCTTGCAAGTAATGTATTTATTAAAGAGTGAAAGCATAAAGTAAATTCACGAGTCAAGACCAGCTGAGAGATTCAAGAGCAGCGTGTTGTGACTGACACAGTGAAGGGAATAACAAATGTTAAAGGGAGAAGAGTAGGGAAAAGAAAAATTTAGGAAGGTTATACACATTAGCACCACTTTTACAAACCACTCAAGAGGATGGCTGTGATCTCTTAGAAAAGTTTTGGCTACAAGGATCTCTTTATCATAACAGTAACAGCATTTGCTTTCTATAATAAAATTTTAGATGAAGAAATTTTGGGATAAACAAAAATGTGTTCTACTTACTTAAAATCTATTTTTCCAATTCTGAAAAGGCAATGAAACTGCTGGAGTGAAAATGTCAATATATACCAATATTTAGCATTTCCTTTTGAATGCAATGAAGGCAATGGCAATGATGGAAGAATAGGTTACTTCTTTCCTTGCAGTCTCCTAGTGGAAACTTCACTATAAATGACTAGAACAAATGAGGAAGAACAGTAGCTCTTACCCTGTTACCCCAGAATCCTTTTGCCCAGAATATTACCTGTTTCTTGCTGGGGAAGACCACAGCTAGAAATGAATTGACAAGAGAGGCAGTATTTGAAGGCAGCTAGGTGGCACAGTGGATAGAGCACTGGCCCTGCAGTCAGGAGGACCTGAGTTCAAATCTAGCCTCAGACACATAACACTTACTAGCTGTGTGACTCTGGGCAAGTCACTTAACCCAACTGCCTCACCAAAAAAAAAAAGAGAGAGAGAGAGACAGACAGCGAGAGAATATTCAATATATCTTTTTTCCCCCAGAAGGAGAGAAGCAATCATGTATTGTTAGTGCTTCTGGGCCCCACAGGCCTTGGACAGGTAAAATGACAGCCAAACAAATGATTTTATCATGAAATGGTCTTGACCATCTCTCTGAAGCATTCGTTAAGGTGATTATGTTTGTGATACAGCAAGCAACACCCTCTTCCCAGCTCCTGCTCCTCCAAAAAATTTATTAATCCACTCACCCTGTGAAGAGTGTTGTTTCTATCTTTCCCCAGCTATTTCCCATGAATGCTCTTAATATAAGCTCCTTGATGAAAGCAGTCGTTTCATTTCTGTATTTGTATTCCAGTGCATAGTACAATTCTTCAACACAGGAGAAGCTTAATAAATGATGGCTGAATTAAAATGTATCACTTGGAAGGTTTTTATGGTCCCCATGGGCAATCCAGAAAGAGCTGCATCAGAAATGGGTTATATCTCCTGGTATAGGGAAGGACTAGAAATCCTTTATCAAAAACTCCTATAAAGTATATAAATTAAGGTTCAATTATAATCTTATGAAAGTCTAACACAAATATTGTGCATAATCTTTTCTTCCATCACACATAGGTTGTGACTAGTGAAGAGACAGCAGTGTTGGGCTGCTGGTTAAGTATATTTGAGGGATCAATCAGCAAGTATTTATTAAGCTCCTACTACATACTAGGTACTGAGCTAGGGTTGGGAATACAAGGGAAAAAAAAAAAGAAAACTTCTACTCACAGGAACCTTACATTCTAATTGGAATGTATCTGCAAAGAAATCCTCCTTATGAACTAGTAATAAATAAGACAACTCAGGCATGCATGCTTTCCCAAGGATACTCTGCAAAATGTTGGTTTTTCACAGGATCTACTGGAATAGATCGGTTTCCACACTTCATTTGTGTGTTATTACCTATATCTATGTTCAATGTCACTTTATGAGAAGTGGACCATGAATACCTCTATCTCTGGCTGGCAAGGGATTTGGGATAAGAATCCAAACTCATTTCATGAAGGTCACATTTCAGTGGGTCTCTACTTTTTGCACTTCTGGACTACTGCATCATGGATCTGCAATATTTTTTTGGTCCCTATTCTCTCCTTATTTCATGCCTTTTTATATGGGGAGAGGGGAGGGAGATGGTGTTGAGGATAGGTGGCAGAGTGTGTTTTTAAGGAGAAATAAGATAATTTGGATGGGAAAATCCTTGAGAGCATGAAGCATTTACTTACATTTTTAAAAAACCAGCAGGAAAAAAATACTCAATACCAGAAATGAATATAATGCATTGCCAAGCTTTTAAACATTTCCTCAGTAGTGAATTCTTAGGTTTTTACTCTACTTCATGAAATTCTATGTGACCATTTTTAATAGTACCAATCTGTGCAACAGGAACTTTGGGGAAATGCTAAAATGTGGATCAAAATTTATGTAGGGCTTGATTCCAAGTGTCAATGACTAGATATAAAACAAACCAGTAAAATCAAATGTATTATAGGTAAATAACTAGCTAAACTTAGTTTCATATTAAATTCTATTTTAGTTGATAGCCACATTAATGTTAACTTTTTAGCTCATTTTCAACACTGACAAAAAATGGCAAACCTCTTGAGTGGATTGTAAGTTTTGCTGACTGTGTATTGAGAAATCCATAAGCAAGGACTGGATGCTACTGGGTGAACCCATGCAAACAACAGATTGTAAAAGATTCCCGAAACAAAACCTATAGCTCACTACAGATGACACAATGAAGACTAGAGAGAGAAAAGCCAAATAGTAATGCTACACCATTCAGCTCCAAGAAGCACATCATTTATAGTGCAATCCACATATGGCCACTGCTAAATGTCAAATCAGTAGTCTTACAATTACACTTTGGAACTAATGGAGTCCACAAATTAAAAAAGATATGCAAAGTGACAAAAAAAACCAAATCGCAAAGTTTAAAGTGAGAAAACTCAACTGAATAGAGTTTATTAAACTATAGCCGAACAGACCAATTTTCTCCAACAAGGAGTAACTGGAGTCTATGGATTTTCATAGATTTTTCAAAGCCTGCTCAATTAACTTGACTGCTCTGGGGAAAAGATTTTATCAGTCAAGTACAAACTAATGGATGATATGCAATTTAACTTGTACTATAACAGCTTAGTTTAACTCTTGCAGGCAGCACAGCTTAGGGAGTAGGCATTCACTCCTCTACTCCTTGACCTCATTAAAGAATTGAGAAAAATTTCCTAAGAAATCAATCCAATTGTAGAAATAATGATTAAAGGCATTATAGGATTCAAACATTCATGTGTTCCAGCACACCTAATTAACCTATAGCTTTAGCTCAAACTAATACTTTTTTCTTTGCATATCAACTTTAAATATATGGAGTCTGTATAGTACTGACGGCTGTTTTTTCATCAAGATTCCAAAAGTTATTTTTTAGTAATTGGCATAAAAAAGGCCTTATCGTCAGAATTTTATCTTGGTTTCCTTAACTCAAAATAAAAAGTTATCTATTGAGTAATCTTAATATATTCTACAGACTTATTCAGAAAGATCATTTGGAACCTTACTAAAGATATTTACCTGGATGAAATAAATACGCTTGGGAGGAGGGGCAGGATACCTTTTAATCAAAGACTGTGAAATAATTCAGAACTGCCTGTTTTTATGTATTTTCTTACACTATAAGAAACGAAAGATTTAACATTTCAATGACTGAATGTGTAAGGCTTTAGAAACTGTCCAAAGGTATACCACATTATTGCACCTCTGAGTTTTTATTCCCAACCTGGGGTAGCTTTGCTTCATATATCCATTCTCTTCCAAAAAAAAAAAAAGACTTTCATTCTACACTCACAAACACATACTCAGCATAAACTGTGCAATCTTTCCATGGTTATCAGATTCTGCAGAATACTTTTAAGGAAAAAAATGTTTCATTTGCTAGACTTTTAGGACCTTGTAATGATCTGTAGACTCCCAAACCTGCATACTTCCAGCCACCTCTGAGTTGCATGCTGTAGCAAAACAGTCAGCACCTCTCAAATAGATATTGCTGCAGAGACAGATCTGAATTCAGCAGATAAACTCTTGTGTACAACACCATTGGTCCCTAGGAATTCCAAGACAGTACAATGGTTATAATCATTATTGCTATCACTGAGCATTTGGAATTCAGGAATGTCAATATTTCTTTGTTGTGATTAAAACACGGTACCTTTTGTTGTTTGGACAGATATACTAATTCCATTTTATAAATAAGGCATACCATTCTACCTTGGTCCTTAAATAATAGAAATTCAATGGATTCTCTAATAATATGTTGTAATATGCTCATAATATGAACTAGAATTCATTTCCTGAATTCTGAAATGTTTTTAAAAACAAACTGGTCTCTCAATAAAGAAACTGTGGTTGGTGAAATATTAACCATACCTGCCATAGGGCAAGAGAGAAAGTAAGCTCCAATCAATTATTCAGAAGCTCTAAAAGTCCAGTCCTTAAAAGAAACCTTTCCAAATTTAAAATATCATTTGATTTAGTACTTAAAAAAAAACTTTCAATTAAGATGGGCATATGAATAACAAATACTCAGGGCTGTAAATTCAGTTATTTGCTGTTGCCAGGACAGAGCACCCTTAATGAATTAAAACTTTGTTTTAACCAACTTGCCCAGGCTTCCCACATTTAGCTATCCTTTAATTTTTAACCAGTTGACATTCATATTCAAAATATACATCAATGGGAGGTGAGAGTAGAGTGGAGAGGGCCCTCTTCTAAGTGTAAGACACTGGTGTAAGCCTACAGATATTATTTGAATAATTAGGTGATAATTCCCAGGGTGGTATAGAACAAGACATTAATGCTAGTTCTTTCTTATGAAATTTACAGAGCAGAGGGGGCTTGGCATTTCAATTAAAATTCCTACTTCAAAACACAAGATTAGGCTGTTTCAGCACATCAGATGTGAATTCTCCCTCTGCAGCATTATCACATGCGTCATCAATTACTGCCATGCCTAAGACTAGCGTCATGCCAGCACATTAAGACAGAAGGTACTATATGCAGTGTTCACTGGACCAGAAGAACAGAAATAAGAAGGGAAGTGGGGAGAAAAGAAACCCTAGAGAAGAAAAAAAGGAAAAAAAAGAAAAAAAAAGGCAGACCGTGCAATACAAACCAGATCATGGCTGCTTAGCTAATATGGGCCAACTGCTGTGGAAGAAAAATGTCGAACACCCCAAGTTGTGTAAATTTCTGTAAACATCTAAACACACACACAAACATACACAACACCAACCCTATGTAGGAATATAAATGCATGTTGATCCTTTGCTAATGTTGCAGTTTTCTGAAAAAACAAAAGCTAAAGACACTATAGCTATATCATATATAATGATTAATTTTTGTTTTCTTTTAGAAAACAATAATCATCTAAGCCCTTAAAAAAAAAACTGGGACTGACTAAAATGTCAACCCTTTGTCATTTATTTCCCCATTAAAGGTTTTACTATATAGACTCCTAAGAGTAGGTAGGTAATAGTGGAGAGAGTGCCAGACCCAGAGTCAGGAAGACTCATCTCCCTGAATTCAAATCTGGCCTCAGACACTTACTAGATGTGTAACCCTGGGCAAGTTTGCCTCAGTTTCCTCATCTATAAAATGAGCTAGAGAAGCAAATGGTACACCACTCCAGTATGAGTCAGATATGACTGAAAAACAACTAAATATATACATACTCCATCATTAAGAATGAGGCTAAACCAGTTTACTACCGATATTAAGCGCTGGCACCACTACAGATTTTGATATTCTTCTATGCTCTATGGCACTGGAAGGCAACAAAGGGCTATTCAAAGTAAGTTTCAAAATTCAGAAAAAAAAATTTTTGAACCAGGAAAATAACTTCATCTACTTTGCAACTTGGAATTAATTATATCCATGATGAAGCAGAGAGAGGTGGGGAAAAAAATACAAAACAAAAATACTGAGCTATTCTGTTCTTAATCGAATGGGTTACATTAATCCAGAAAATATAAATTTACCATCCTTATTGTTTTCAATAGGAAATCATCATTCTCACAAGGTAATTTGACTAATTAAGCAAAAACAAATAAATAAATAAAAAGTTTAAAAGGATCAAAATACATTTACTCCTTAAATTTACAGGGGGGAAAAAGAGCTTAAATCTTGCTACCTTTACTGGTATGGGCCAAAAATGATACATTTCCATTAAAGAAATTAATGTCTTTAAGAGCCTAAATTACAAACCAAAATAAATATTAGACTATACCCCCAACCCAACTAAATTACAGATTAGAGAACAGCAACTCTATACTGCTACAATCCATCATTAAGAAATTTAACTGCATCCACATCAAACACCATCCGAACGCTATCTAGCTTGGTGGTGGCCCAAAAAATAAACATTGAACATCTTACCGATTCTATAGGTTTGTCTAGTGATGCTTGTTCAATCTCCAAGTGTCCTTCTTCATACTGATCAAAGTGATTACCCTGCAAGAGAATTACTATAGTTATCTTTAAAAGGAAAAAATTTTTTTTAAAATTTCCTGCTCCAAATAAGTAATTTTAGCCTGATAGATTTTTTTTTTCATTTCAGGATGTATACATCTGGAAATAAACTGCAAACAATAGATTTTTTTAAATTAAAGTTTTTTTCAGTGGTCAACCATTTGGTCCCCCTCTCCATTTCTTAGGGACTTTTTTTTATAATTAAATATGTTATTTATTAGGATTATGAGGGAAAGAATGCATGCTATTCTGACCCTCAATCCTCAAAATATACTTCATAAAATGGACATATAATTTTAAACACCAGCTCTTCATAGAATGCCAATGTAAACAAACTATACAGAAATGTAGAATTCTGAAATAAAGGGCAACCTTTTGTTCTACCTAAAAGATTTTATTACTATCTTTTAATTTTATATCACCTATATTTCCACATATCATTCCTCTCTCCTCTCCCTAAAATGGCTAAAAGCCATTGTTTTAGACAAATAATAGATTTTTAAAAAGCAATTCAGCAAAACTAACCAACATATCAAAAAAAAAGTCTGACATTATATAAAGTGTTCCATACCCATAGTCCCCCTGCGTTAGGACTCCTTCATCCACCCAAAAAAGCAATGAGGTTCCCTCTCATACATCTTCTTTAGGTATGCTTTAATTTTTATACATGATGCTGCAAACTTATCATTCAAAAGCTGTGATCTGAAGCTGGTAAAATATTCAAGGAAAACCAATTTTTGGTGATTGAGTCATATACAAAGAGTATAAATGTTTTCCCCACTGTACTGTAGTCAGAGATTGAGGGAATGTACTCCTCCAGAGCAACAAGTCACTTATCAGTCTTGAGTCCTAAGTTTCAAGAGAAAAGAAATGTATTCACCTTGAAACAGTTATCTAAATCCAGCCATCTTAAGAGACCAGTAAAGATGGTAGAATAGAGGTACAACCCAGCTTTCCCCCACAACTACTCCAAGAAAGACCTAGAAAGAGCATCAGACTGAGTCATGATCAGAAAATCCAAGGGAAATTTGCAGTGAGTCAATTTTCCAGCAGAAGTCAGCACAGGAGACAGACAGGCTTGCAGAGGCTAGAAGCAGGTCTAACCAAGAAGGTACCAAGGAGCCTTCTGGTATTAGTACTGAACTGGGTTCTGCATTTACACAGCTGCAGGGCAAGAGGTGGCCCCAGATTCAGTAAGGACCAGTCTGACGTCCTGCCTGACAAGTCATGCCTGACACAGAGAGAATGAAGAAGAGTCAAGCAGCAGCTCTATCTCTCACTTGTACCCAATAGCTGGATTTTCATTTTCAGTGCAGATTAAGGATGGGACCTACTCCTACACTAGATCTCAGACTTAGCCCCTAAGCCCTGTCTGGGTCAGGCAGCTGAATAGCAAGTCCAGAATAAGAAGGAATCTACAGTTCTATTGTTCTAAACCGATAGAGCCCTCCTGGTTGGAAGGTGGCTGACCACAACAGAAGTCTACTGGAGCTCCAACAAGGAAGCCTCAAATGGGGTGAGAAGCTTGCAAAGCTGAAATCAGAAGGGCAGTGGTTAGACTTTATCCTAGAACAGACCACTTTGGTACACTGAAAATTTACAGGTTCCCGGCCTGAGCTGTCTCTGAGATCCTCAAAGAATACAACAGCTAGAGAAAGCAACAGCAAAGAATACAAATCAGAACCAAACCAGCTTTGGATGAAACCCTCCATAAGCATATAGAATCTGGCTGAAATTCAAAGTTCCAATTCAGGAAGTAAGGTTAAAAAGAATGATTTCTTATCCCCCCCCCAAAAAAATTGCCACCAGAGAAGGCTTTTATGGTGACAGTGATGCCTAAGACACAAACCCCAAAGTAGAGAATGATTCCAAACTATCTACAAGACAAGCTTCAAAGAAAAGCATAGCTTGGTCAAAAGTTCAACTAGAATTCCTTGGAGAAATATAACAAGCATTTTAAATGAAATGAGAACCTAAAAAAAATGAAAAAGAAATGAGAGTTTGGGAAGAATGGTTTGGAAGGAGAATAGCTTAGCAGAAGAGGCAGAAAACCTTACCTAAACAACAGACTTCTTGAGAATTATAATGGACTAAAGAGAAGTTATTGACTTCATTAGACAACAAGAAATATTAAAACAAAGTTAAAAGACTGAAAAAAAATGAAGAAAATAATAAGGTAGAGGTCTCACAGCAAAAACAACTGACCTAGAAAACAGATCAAGGAGGAATAATTTAAGAATCTTTGGACTACCATAAAGCCATGTCCCAAAAAAGGGCCTGTACATCATATTTCAGGAAATCACTCATGAAAACTACCCAGAACTACTCAAACAAGAGGGCAAGGTGAAAATAGAAAAACAGAAAAATCCAGTACATATTTTTCAAAAATAAAAGTTACAGGTTTCACCTATAGCTTTCTTTGCAAATCGGCAAAAATGAAAACAGCAAATATTAAAGGAGCTACAGAAAGACAGGCATACCAATACACTGAATGCTTTGGTGAATTTATCCAATGACTCTGGAAAGCCATTTGGAATTATGTCTTTTCTCATTTTGGAATTATGCCTCTGAGGCCTCCCCTCACTCTCCCTTCCAAAAAAACAAAATAAAACAAACCAAAAAAAAATTTTGACTAAAATGTCTATATCCTTTTACCCAGAAGTCACACTGTTGCGATAGTCCCCAAGGAGTTAAAAGACAGAAAGAAAAGCTCCATGGACACCATAATATTCAGAGCAGCATTTCTGCAGTTAAAAAGAGTAAGAAACAAAGTAGATGTCCATCAATGAGACAGGGTTAAACAAACTGTGTACATGAAGGTAACAGAATGTTGTTGCATGCAAGATATGGCAAATATGAACAATTCCATACAACATGGGTACACTTACAGGAATTAGTGCAATGATTAGGCAAAACTTGGAAAATATACAAAATAAATATAACAATATCAACAAGAAATAATAAAATGGCCCTGAACTTAGTATAATTATAAAGACCAAGTTTAACTTGAAAAATTGAGAAAATACAGCTCCCTCCTTTTACTGGAGAAATAGGGGACTATGAGTATGAAATTGTGCATATTCTATCAGATGTAATCAATGTGCCAGTTGGTTTTATTGATTTTTTTTTAACTTTTATTACAAGGGAAAGCTTGGCAGAAAGGGGAGAAGGGAAAGACTATATTCAGAAATGAATGTGATATGAAAATAAAAGGCACCAATAAAACAAAAAAAATAAATAAAAGATGCCTCTTCAAAAAGTGACAACCTTACAAAATAAAGTTAGTCTATCAATAAAAATGTTTTGGGGTTTTTTTGTTGTTGTTTTAAAAAAGGATAAAATTGAGCCTCCTTGACTGGAGGTTGAAATTAAGTAAAGATACTGCACAAAAAAACAAGTGAATCCTTTATGGCTTCTAAACTGTATCCAAACTATGCTAGCAAAAGAACACACAGTTGAAGAAACCCTGAAGAAGAAATGGACTAAATTTTTAGCTCTGACATTGCCTGTAGTAAGTGATTTTTAACCCTTCTGAAATTATACCATCCTACCATTCTAATCCATATGTTAGAGTAGATTAAAATAAATGGTGCTGATACTTTCACAAGATATCTTGAAATAACAGATGCCAGCATGGAGTTATCAGCGCTGCTAAAAGTGCTGGGGATACAAAAAGAAAAGTGAAAATTCTTGCCCTCAAAGAGCTTATTTGTACCTATATAGGTATATATAAAATGAGACAGCTAGGTGGCACAGTGGGATAAAGTGCTGGACTTAGTAACAAGAAGACCAAGTTCCAATCCTGCCTTAAAACATTTACTAGCTATATTACTCTGGTAAAGGCACTAAGCCTCTCTCAGCCTGCTTTCTCATCTAAAAAATGGTGATAATAACAGCATCTACCTTACAGGGCTGTTACAAAGATCAAGTGAGATAATAGTTGCAAAGTACTTTTTGGGCGGCTAGGTGGCACAGCTAGGAAGACTGATCTTTCTGAGTTCATATCTGGCTTCAGACACTTACTAGCTTTGTGATCCTGGGCAAGTCACTTAACCAGTAGTTCATCTGCAAAATGAGTTAGAAAAGGAAATGTCAAACCACTCCAATATCGTTGCCAGGAAAACCCCAAATGGGGTCACAAAGAGTCAGATATGACTGAAATGACTGAACAACAACACTCTGCAAACCTTAATGTGCTCTACAGATGTTAGCTATTATTATTACTGTCATTATTACTACTATAAAATTAATTACAAGAGAGGGAGGCACTAACAGTTGGAGAGTTCAGGAAGGAGTTCATATACAAAGTGGTGCCTGAGCTGAGTCCAAGAAGGAGAGATAAGGAATGAATTCATTACAGGCATGAGGTAGAGAGTAGAGACACAAGGACAGGAAGTGAGAGACAGGGTGACCTCCATGAGGAACAGACACCATACATTATATACGTGAAGGACAGTAATGGTAATAAGGCTGGATAGATGGGTTGGGGAAGAGGCTGTGGAGGCCTTTAAATGTCAAACAAGAGTGAATATCTGATACTAGAAGTAACAGGGAGCCACTCTAGGATCTATTAAGGGAAGGAATGAGTCAGGATCTATGCTTTGGGAAAATCCTTTGGCAACTACATGGAGGATAGACTGTGGTACAAAGAAACTAATATAAAGAGATCAATTTGGAGGCTATTGTAATAGTCTATGCCAAGGGTGAGGAGGGCCTGAAGTAGGGTAATGGTGTTGGTAAGTAGAGAAGGTGGCTGAAATTAAGAAATGTGGAGGCAGAAACATTAAGACTTGGAGGCTGGAAGGATAATGGTACTAGCCATAGAAAGAAGGAAATTCAAGAGGGTTGGGCTCAGGAAGGAGAAGATAATAATTTTCAATTTCTGACACAATTGACTTTGAGATGTCTAGGGGCATCATCTTCATCATCATAGACAGCATTTATACAGTGTTTTGAAGTTTGCAAAGGACATTACATTCAAT